AGGGGGGGGGGGGGGGAGTACACCTCCCGAGTAGAGGCTATTCACCTGGATAGCCTCATTCCCTGAAGAAGATGTCCTGATAGACATCGAACTATTGAACTATTAAAACTTACCTCAATATTAGCTGTTGACTGAAGAAAAAATCACATCATTCTTAAATATTTTGAGATTTGAAATAATTTCTCATCATCCCAGCCCGGCTTTCCATAAATGAGTAGAGAGGTATTAACTGGGAGGTGGTTTGGGGGGGGGGGGTATCCACAAGGGCTCCTGTTTTCATGTACTAGTAATTAACGATGAGTACATGGACAGACAAAGCATCATAATTTTCAAGTTCCGATCGAGTTATTATTAATTTTTTATTTTAAATCACCAACCCGTATTGTTGTAATTATCAATTGTGGTCCAAATTCAATGTGTTTATGTAACTTTAATTAGGTTTGAATGAGCGATGTACTGTATACATGTTTCTATTGAAACATATGGTATTTAGATTTTCATAATGTTGCCAACATTGTTATTTGAAATACAAACACTGTGTACGCAAGGTGGTACTTTTCATTTCAGTTGCAGGTTACCCTTTGCCTCTTATATTAACTAAAAGTTAAAACCTTAGATCTATTCTCTATTTTCAGGCACCTGAAACCAGTCCAGTAGAGTCAAAAAACAAGCAACTAGCCGAATTCTACATCCGTCACATGAGCCAGATACAGCGTCTTCCCTGGGACCCCGACGACACGATGCTCATAGATGAAGTATACGTTAATTCGCAGTGGGTACAAGAGGGAAAGAAAGCAGCAAGTACCAGTTCTGGTCCAAACCAGAGCTATACATCAATATTTAATGATTACGCACAAGGGAAGACACCAAAGAGAATATTGGTCAGAGGTAAAGCAGGCATCGGCAAAACCACATTTACACAGAAGATAGCAACAGACTGGGCAAATGCTACACTAGGTAAGAAGGATTGTCATGCGGGACTTTCAAACTATAAACACCTGTTCATCTTGAATCTACTTGAAATTAAGAAAGATCAAACTTTGGAGAAAGCAATAGAAATGCAAATCCCTTGCACTGCAGAAAATGAGAATGTGATAAAGGTAGTGCTGAATAAGGACAGTGACCATGTGTTGTTGGTCTTTGACGGCTATGATGAATACAATCGTAATACTTCTGAAGAAATAACCAACATCATCGATTGCAAAAAATACCAGAATGTATGCACCGTCATCACAACACGTCCAACGAAGGTAGAAGGATTGAACCTACGAATAATGGACAGTGTGTATGATATCACTGGACTAACAGAGGACAGCATAGTTGAATATGTTGCTAAATTCTTTAATGATAAACAGACATATGATAAGTACCTGAAATTGAAGTCAGACTATGAAACCTTCCCGTTAAAATGGAAAGCAGATTCATTATCATCATTCGAATTTAACCGAGATTATATATCATATTTCGAGATCAAGGGCGTCCAGGAATCAATAGGAATAGGTCTCGTAGGCTACCTGAAGGAAAGGAAACTGATGTCTCTGGTTGAGATCCCAATACTTTTACTTTTCATTTGTCTCATGTGGCAAGAGGATCAGGAAAGTGGTGCCAAGACAGATTCACTCCCAGCTTCATATACACTGCTATTCAAGAAACTAATACAGTTGCTTGTAAGACGAAGATACGACATTACCACACAGAAAGAAATGGAAGAATCTGCACATGTGAGAAAACTTGAAGAACAAAATTTCATTAGCCTTGGTAAGATGGCTTACGAAGGACTGCTGAAGCCAGATGGGGGTCTCATATTTAGTGAAAATGACCTGAAATCAAATTCAGATATCAGTGAATTATACAGTTTAGGTCTGTTCAGCAAGTTTAAGGTGCACAGTAACCTTGACGTAAAACAAGAAGTAACTTTTTTACACAAAACCATTCAGGAGTTTTTTGCTGCAAAATACCTGGCGTGGACATTAAGTAAGAATTATGGTGTTTTAGATCAATATTTGGAAAACTTACACACCATTTATGCGCTCTACAACATGGAGTATGTGTTGCGCTTCTTGTGTGGGTTAACAGAGAGGGCAGCTGTCAAAGTCCTGAAGACAGCTAAAGCTCTACAGGGTGCATCCCAGAAACGCGAATATTACTCATTAGAAAATAACGTTCATGCTTTTGGATGGGCCTATGATAGGAAGTACAGCCAGTGGTGTAATGATCTCCTCCTAGAACACTGGTATGCCCACTGTCCTCAGGAAACCGTGCTGCCCCCTGAGCTTTTCTCCTGGCACACGACACTTCACATGCCTAAATCATTTCAGCATTCTGATTCCAGATTCCAGCAGGTTTTGTATGATAGCGTGGATGGTGCATTGCGCACTCCACAGATATATTCTGGTATGTTCAAAGATGTAAGAGCTGTCTTTTTGCACAGTGCATCAATAGTTGAACCAGATCACAAATTTTTGTCTTTACTCAAGACTTGCGACACGTTTCAGGAACTACAAGCTTTTCTTTGGTATTCAAGCCACGCGTGCGATGATTGCAAAAGTGTCTTGAATGAAGTTTTATCAAAAGCTCCTAACCTCGACACTCTTGTAATAGACGGTTTTTTAAGTGGCATTCTATCATCAATACCAAATCCCAGAAAATTGGAACTTCTGGATGTCAGTGAAATAAATTTAAATGATCAAGACATTCAAACGATCCAACAGATAGCGTCCCTGAAGTGCATTTTTGTAAGATCAAAAGTTGATGAACTTGTATTACAAGATCTTCAATCTGCACTAGGTACACTGCCTAATACCAATGCTAATTTGACTCACATAAAATTTTGTCAAGTCTGCCTTTGCGCTTACGGTGTAAAGCTTCTGGGGGAAAACCTTCAATATGTGTCAGAATTAAAATACCTTTTCCTTAATGATGTATTCTATGACGGTAGATTCATCCTAGGTCACATACCCAGGTATGGGCCTAGCAAGCATACGTTGCCTAGGGGTGATAGGACAGACTATGACAGATGTCAGGATGTCTGTGAAGCCGTGCGTAAACTGAGCCAAGGTGTGATACACACCACTAAGCTGAAACTCTTCATGTTTAGTGGTAATCACTTGGGTCTGTACCACGGTATCACCAGTCCACTGATAGCATTGATACAATCTCTCAGTACAGTGTCAGAGCAGACTGGAATGAATATTTACATGTCCAATAATGACCTGGACAAAGTTGACCGCCTCAGTGAGCTGACAGAAGCCATTGTCAGCTCTTACCAGCATGTATCATCTTGGGAACTTAAGGATAATAACCTTGAGGAGAGTCTCCCGCAACCAGACCGCAGTCTTAACTGCAAAGTGGAAGTAGGCCTACACACACATTTATCGTTGTCTGAGGAAAGTGATGGCGAGGACTCCATGTAGTTACTTGATATCCAAATACCTTTATAAACTGAAACTTTTTGCATAAAAATGTATATTTCATGATGTGATTGCAATAGTGCGATATTACTGTTGATGGAAGTTTTATCGCCAAGTAGTGCTGTTCAGCATGCCAGTATTTAGTATTCAGTTTTTATGACATGACTCTAGTGTGAAAATATGAAGAGGAATCTGCTAAATTGCCACATTGTATTTTATTGTCAGCCTTCAACAACTGCTGGTATAGTGCATTCCAAATCATGGTGTAAATAACTTGACACAATTGTAGAAAATTGTTACATTTATGTTTTTCTTTTCTTTTCAAACACCAGCTGTTCAAATTACAATGGTCCCTAACAAGTTAACATGTGTTGGTTATATTATTTATTTTGACTCATTTATATAAACATATATCCTTATTTGAATATAAATTGATGTGCTGATTGCAGAACTTTATTTCATCTAATAATTTGTTTTCTTTTTTTCGGTACACATACTCATATTTGTGTGTGAGTGTTTTTTTTTAATATTGTACACTAGCTAGTAAATGTAGGCTACATGTACATGTATATCGAGTGTTTTTTAATAAGGAATTAGATAGCTAATTTCTTGACTTGGCATTTAGCCGTTCATGAAATTTTAGAATGTTTGTGAAAAATTTGGTGTAAATCTGTGTATCACTTTGTGTGAAAGAAATATATTGTATGTAGGCCTATTTATTAATATTTTTGGAAAGTAAAATGTCTTATTTTGTTATGGGTTAGCCTACACACTGTTTTTGTTTTTATTTCCTGTGGGCACCGCAAAAATTACAAAATATTTTCTTAGTAAAATTCAAATAATTGAATTCAATCTTAAGTTAAAAGCAACTGTATCATGGTGTGAAATAAATTTTATGGCTGTTCATCAATATTATTTGTAGTATGTACATCTTTCATATTAATAAACTATTTAATTTAGGAAACTCATCAGAGAGTTGTTGTCCCTTTCTTTTGCCGTGATGTACATTCATAATGATTTGCCAACTCTGTCTTCAATACATCTCATATAAAGCATAGGCCTATTGAAACGGATAAACGGATGTCAATTTAAGTACATAGTTTATCAGTAGGCCTATATGCTTGGCATGGTCTCAGTAATCTTTACCTGTTACAATACAACTGCGCTAATTAAGATGTGTATAATAGAAAAGACGCAGAGACAGGATGGTGGTAAAGAAGATGGTCTATGGGATATTCACCCCCTTAGATTTACATAATCATCCACTGTAAAATCTATCAAGCTTCAATATTAAAATACATGCAACTTCATCATATAACTTCTCTCAAGATTTCAAACAGCCTGGGAAGCATGTAATCAACTACTGAAATTATTTAAGTCCGACCTTGAGCATGCTCTTATTATAATGGTCTTCAGGGATGGATCCATGATTATTTGAAAGGAGGGTTGTTTTTTTTTAATTTTCTATTCATTTTTTTTATAATGACAAACCTTGGATGCATAGCCGACCCTTGCTCCCTTGGCGTTGGGGTAGAATTTATTATTCTTTTTATTTTGAGTTTTGGAAGGCAAAAGGTGCCATTTGGCACGGTTTAGAACTATGATTCAGCTAGCTAAATTCTAATTTTATTACAAGGTCACTGGAAAAACCTTTTTTTTTTCAAAATCCGAAAAAGGGGGGGGGGGGTCACTCATAAATCCTCCACTGGTCTTAAAACCTTTGTAGAGAGCATTTTACTATATAAAGAAGATGTTATGCACAGCATTAAGTAGGGCATTGATTATCAGTTGGGAAAGACCAACATGTTCCTAACAGTACACAGAGGTATATAAACCATTTACTTTATCATCTCTAATAAGGAAAAGAATACCGCAGTTCGCTAGGCACTGTGCCCGCACTAAATTTCTTTTTGTCTCCACATATATTGGGCACTATCTGGAAGAAAGGCTCAGAGAGGAAGAGCAAATGTAACTTACTCTGGCACCATCATTAATGATACTGATTGCAAACAAGTGAGACCCTTGTAATGATGTGACAGAAACACCTCTGATCTAAACATGGTGCTGCCAAAGGGCGAGAAGCACACAAACGAAACGGGGTGCCTCGATATGAAACCAGACAACTTTTGTGTTTTTAATCTCCAAATACTTTTAAAAATCAATAAAGATAATAAATAGGCCGTCTACAAGAATCTATTATATCGTATCTTTTATATTAATTCTTATTGAATATCACAATGATAAACGAGTCGCCTTTTGATGTACGCCCGGCTATGACCTCTATTAAAAAATATCCTTTTTTTTAGATTACAAATTGTATCGTACTGTTTGGTTCCATAGCCTCGCTTTCAGAAATTAGAATAGGCGCTCCAAAATCGTAAGACGAAGTAAAAATTTTTATATTGACCGAGTTCGCCACCCAATAAGAATATCCTTACAGCATTATCTGCAATTAACCTTCTTACGATTTTTAATGTATTTTGCAATATAATTTTCAATCTGCCCGATGAAGAAATATATTAATCAAGAGTGGGGGAGGGGTGGAAAATCCCCTTGGGGCCACATATAACACTATAAATGCGAAGGGAATCCCCCTTACAATAACGGCAAAATGAATGTTAATCAGGAAAGTCCGATGGATTTGCTTTTTAAACATACAATCGACAAAAATTTTCTAATGTGATTTCTCAAAACAACACCAGAAAGCAAATTAAATCAAATCAACCAGACGGTAAACACCGGCAGGCTTTGTCAATTTCACCATTTGTTTATTTCAAACAGAGTACTTTTCGCGCATGCGCAGTAGTTTGAGACCTGTGCTAGGGCGAGAGATGAATACTAAAAAGATCATCAAAACAATCCCTCATTTCAAAAAGTGGATGACGCATTACATGCGCAAACCAAACCAAAATAAAGAGCCTTCGCTGTATTTCTGTAAAACATCGTATATTGACTGGCGAGAAACTTTGAAACAAACATTTCCAATTTGTACGTTGATGTCGTTAATTCGCAGTGCTTGTTCTCGGAGGACGATTATACGCAAACAGGTACATTACGGACGCTAAGAGGCATCTTCAAAAAGTGATGGTTTGCAAAGTTTGACTCTCGATTTGTACCGCTCACGATGACACATAAAGCAGTGTAATAAACACTTCACGTTAAATGACCATTCAAGAAGGGAGTACGCTAGAAGGTTGTGAAAATGATTGTACACGTTGCGCAATCGACACTCATTAGCGACACGAAAGCGTGAGCCGCGAGCACTCATTTTATGCTCCTGGGACGAAGGTTGGGGGACGGGAGCATATGGGGTACGTACGGGGTCTGATCTCGTAATTATCTCATGTATAGATCTGTGACCAGGTTTTCCCGCTGCTTGATTCACATCGCTAAAGACATAAAGACAGAAATTAAATTCTTCACCCTTAAACCCTTTACTTAAAATGCTCATTTCAAAAATATATTAAATTGTCCGCACAGAAAATCCATTCTGCCCTCAACGTAGACTCTACAATATGCATTGCAGGCATCAAGGAGAAAACTTCCATTACATGAAAAATAAAAATATAAATTAGACCTATTTCTATAACATAAATATATAGATAGAGTTTTTTTAAATTTAGGTGTGACCTTCCTGTCTGAGAGCTTAGCGTCAAATGAACACAGCTCTAAATGCCGCATGCGCAGCACTACTAATATTGTGTCACTACAAAGCGAGAGTCTCCTGCGCAACCATGAGTGTCTCTGCAACTGCAATTCATTAAATTCAAAGTCGTTGAAATATATTTTATGAACAGTGGCTTTCAGAGGCATTGGTGCCCGCTATTCCACACTAACGCACCCCACGCCTTGGTTTATGTCTCTGTATCAAATACAGCAGCAACCACACTAAGGTTCTATTGTCAAAACGCGTTATGTCAATACCGCTGCATGACTTTCATTCAAACGATTCAATTGACTAAGTTCACTTTGGGTCAACCTAGCAATACCGTGTTATTATAAGGCAAATATCGCTCGAAATCACGACAGTTCGATAACTAAAATGTTAGTAATGAACAGATAAGTGTTTATGACATAAGAGCTTGATGCTAAGATAGAGATAGCGCATATTACTGGATCAAAGGAATCGATTTTGGAAATATGTGAGGAACTGTAAATATTTTATGAAGCAGCACTTTTTACGTCAACAACATCACCTGACAACTTTTGACGGGCGCCATTTTATTTACCTCCCCAGAGAAATATCTTGACGGGATTCAAGGACAAAAGTCATTTTAAAAACTTAATGTAAAGAAGACCTGTCCTAGTAAAGTGAAAAGATGAGTGAAAAAACCAGTGAGTGAGAATTCACCGCATAAAGAAGCCCACTGGCATTTTATTCACCTTCCCAGAGAAAAATCTTGACGGAATTCAAGGACAAAGGTCACTTTCAAGACTTAATGTAAAATATGACTTGACTTTAGCATGTGAACTGTACTTGAAAGCCTGCAAACGTTGGTTTTATCTGCAGTGTAGAGACAATCTTGAATTGATGACGTTTTTGTCAAGAATTGGTTGTGAAATCGGCCACTGAACGTTCGAGATTTAAAAGGTAGAGTATGAGGCTTATATCTATAATATTAAGGCTTTCTACTACATCTATATATAATTATTTTCAAAAAAAAAAATTCATCTTACAAAACATTGCAAGTTTCAATTTACTTCAAGCTAACATATAAAAATACGTCCTACCCACACTGGACAATAGAAGTGTCACCCCTACTGAACCAATACTTTGGGGGAGATAGATTACTGTGGAATGACATGCTCCTGGTATCATTTTATTAACATCAAATTTCACAAAAGAAACGGTTCTGACTAAACAATTCAACTGTATCGCTATTCTGACATTGCTTATATTCCGCCTCTTCAGGTTTATAACTTTGATTACTCTGATTCAGGGTGTGAAACTTCTATTGTCCAGTGTGTGTACATATACCGGTACCTTGGCACACACACAGGCACACACACACACACACACACANAAAAGGGGCGGTTCTTTCGAACCCCCCGAACCCCCTCTGGCTACGGGCCTGGTTTATATGGCATAAGGACTTGATGCTAAGATAGAAATAGCGAATTTTACTGGATTCAGGATATCAATCTTGGAAATATGTGAGGAACTGTAAATATTTTGAGATTCGGCATTATATACGTCAACAACGTCACCTGGCAACTTTCGACGGGCGCCATTTTATTTACCTCCCCAGAGAAAAATCTTGACTGAATTCAAGGACAAACGCCATTTTAAAGACTAAATATAAAATATAACTTGACTTTAGCATGTGAACTGTACTTGGCAACCTGCAAACGTTGTTTTTATCTGCGGAGTAGAGACGATCTTGCTTCGATGAAGACTTTTTAAGAATTGGATGTGAAATCGGCGGCTGAAAGTTCTAGGTTTTAAAAGTACAGTATGACGCTTATTTTTACCCCGTCCTAATCTATTGTGAAATCGGCCTCTGAATGTTCGAGATTTTAAAGTTACAGCTGTACAGTATGAGGCTTATATCTAATATTAAGGCTTGCTACTACATCTATATATAACAATTTTCAAAAAAAAAATTTTCATCTTACAAAACATTGCAAGTTTCAATTTACTTCAAGCTAACACAGAAAAATACGTCCTACCCACACTGGACAATAGAAGTGTCACCCCTCATTAACCAATACTTTGGGGGAGATAAATTCCTGGGGAATGACATGCTCCTGGTATCATTTTATTAACATCAAATTTCACAAAAGAAACGGTTCTGACTAAACAATTCAACTGTATCGCTATTCTGACATTGCTTACATGTATATTCCGCCTCTTCAAGTTAATAACTTTGATTACTTTGATTCAGGGTGCGAAACTGCTATTGTCCAGTGTGTGTACATATACCGGTACCTTGGCACACACACACACACACACACATGAAAAAATTAAGATCTTTTTCTAATAATCTTTTCCCACCTTTTACACTATCTGTAAGTAAATTATTTATGTTGTAATAATCATAACGTTTTTACATCTCCGCCCCAACAGAACTAGAAAACACGGTATTGAGATTTATAACTGGTATGAGGCAGGTCGTTTTTATTATGTTGCTGGAATGATGCCCGGGGTTTGATAGTGAAGACACTTATAAGTTTTTTATCTGTAAAAGATCATAAAGTTTTGTATTAGTTATCAAATGTTAACAAGTCTTTAACTGTTAGATTTCATTATCGTTGTTTATATATATATATTGTTAATGTCTGAGTGTCAGAGGAGTGAGTGAGAGGGATGTTTAAATAGTCATTGATCAAATTGTATTTTACTTTTTACTTTATTTTACTTTGGAGAAATCCAATTTAAAAACTTCATCCAGGCTTTAGATTTTATGGCATAAATGCAGCTACCAATCGGCCTTATGTCCTTAAACAATGATTGAAAACAAATCCCAGAACAGTACCTTATATTATCTTAAGTGACGCTTTATTAAATGCATGTTTATAAAAGAGTGGCTTTCAGACACATATTGGTGCCCTCTATTCCACACTCACGCACCCCACACCTTGATTTCTCACGTGGATCACGTGTACAGGACATGTCCCTGTGTTAAGAACAGCAGAAATTGCACAAAGCTTTTACTTTCAAAGCGCTTAATGTCAATACCGTTGCATGCTTTTCATTAAGACGACTCAATTGACTAAGTTCACTTTAGGTCAAACAACAATATCGTGTTATTATTAGGCAAACTTCGCTCAAAATCGGCAAAGTTTGCTAACTCACAGTTAGTTTATATGGCATAAGGACTTGATGCTAAGATAGAGATAGCGTATTTTACTGCATCCAGGGAATCAATCTTGGAAATATGTGAGGAACTGTAAATGTTTTGAGATTCGGCATTATATACGTCAACAACGTCACCTGGCAACTTTCGACGGGTGCTATTTTATTTACCTCCCCAGAGAAAAATCTTGACGGAATTCAAGGACAAACGCCATTTTAAAGACTTAATATAAAACATAACTTGACTTTAGCATGTGAACTGTACTTGGCAACCCGCAAACGTTGTTTTTATCTGCGGAGTAGAGACGGTCTTGCTTCGATGAAGACTTTTTAAAAATTGGATGTGAAATCGGCCGCTGAACGTTCTAGGTTTTAAAGGTACAGTATGAGGCTTATTTTTACCCCGTCCTATTCTATTGTGAAATCGGCCACTGAACGTTCGAGATTTTAAAGTTACAGCTGTACAGTATGAGGCTTATATCTAATATTAAGGCTTGCTACTACATCTATATATAACAATTTTCAAAAAAAAAAAAAAAATTTCATCTTACAAAACATTGCAAGTTTCAATTTACTTCAAGCTAACACAGAAAAATACGTCCTACCCACACTGGAAAATAGAAGTGTCACCCCTACTGAACCAATACATCGGGGGAGATAAATTACTGTGGAATGACATGCTCCTGGTATCATTTTATTAACATCAAATTTCACAAAAGAAACGGTTCTGACTAAACAATTCAACTGTATCGCTATTCTGACATTGCTTATATTCCGCCTCTTCAGGTTTATAATTTTGATTACTCTGATTCAGGGTGCGAAACTGCTATTGTCCAGTGTGTGTACATATACCGGTACCTTGGCACACACACACACACACACACACATGAAAAAATTAAGATCTTTTTCTAATAATCTTTTCCCACCTTTTGTACTATCTGTAAGTTAATTATTTATGCTGTAATAATCATAACTTTTTTACATCTCCGCCCCAACAGAACTAGAAAACACGGTCTTGAGATTTATAACTGGTCTGAGGCAGGTCGTTTTATTACATATGTATGTTGCTGAAATGATGCCCGGGGTTTGATAGTGAAGACACGTAATATTTTTTTTATCTGTTTTACAGGTAGATCATTAAATGTTTTGCATTAGTTATCAGATGTTAACAAGTCTTTAACTGTTAAATTTCGTTATCGTTGTTTATATATACTGTTAATGTCTGAGTGTTGGTGTGAGGAGTGAGTGAGAGAGATGTTTATTTAGTTAATTATCTAATTGTATTTTTCTTTTGGAGAAATCCAATTAAAAAACTTCATCCAGGCTTTAGATTTTCTCGACTAAATGCAGCTACCAGTCGGCCTTATGCTTTTAAACAATGATTGAAAACAAATCCCAGAACAGTACTCTTATCTATCTACATGTATCTCTTATCTATATAATCTAAAGTGACGCTTAATTAAATACATGTTTATAAAGAGTGATTCCAGACGCATTGGTGCCCGCTATTTTACACTCACGTACTCCAATCTTAGATTTCTCACTTGGTTCACGTACACAGCACATGCCCCTGTGTTAAGTACAGTTTCAGCAGCAACCATACAAAGGTTCTATTGTCAAAACCCGTAATGTCAGTACCGATGCATGCCTTTCATTCAAGCGATTCAATTGACTAAGTTCACTTTGGGTCAACCTAGCAATACCGAGTTATTATAAGGCAAATATCGCTCGAAATCGCTAAAGTTCCATAACCAAATTGTTAGTAAAGAACAGATCAGTGTATATGACATAAGGATTTGATGCTAAGACAGAAGTACTACATACAGGGTAATTGTTACTGGGTCAAAGCAGGGGCGGATTTAGGCCGTCTTCTGGGTCTTCTGGAAGACGGTCAGATTTTCATGTTTACATTGACGGGTGTCTAATTTTTTCTGTCGAAAGACGGTCAAAAATGGAGGACGAATCAACAAAAATAATTTGGAAGACTGTCAGAAAATTTATCTGGATCCGCCCCTGCAAAGGAATCAATCTTGGAATTATAAGAGAAATGCGTGAAACTGAAAATATTTAATGACTCAGCATTATTTACGTAAACAACATCACCTGACGACTTTCGACGGGCGCCATTTTATTCACCATCCTAGAGAAATATCTTGACGGCATTCAAGGACAAACATCTTTTTCAAGACTTAAGATAAAATAGGACTTGAATTTAGCTTGTGAATTGTACTTTGCAACCTGTAAACGTTGTTTTTTTTCTGCGGTGTAGAGACGATCTTGCCTTGATGAAGTTTTTTCAAGAATTGGTTGTGAAATCGGCCACTGAACGTTTGAATTTTTAAAGGTACAGTATGAGGCTTATATCTAAGATTAAGGCTTGCTACTGCATCTAAATATAACTATTTTCAAAGCTTTATTTTTCATCTTAAAAAACTTGAAGCCAACAAAGAAAAGTACGGCCTACATATACCGGCTCCTTGGCGCGCGCGCGCGCGCACGCACACACACACACACACACACACACACACACACAAAGATCCTTTTCAGAAATCTTTTCCAACCTTTTATACTATTTTTAAAGAAATTATTTACGTTGCAATAATCAAAACTTTTTTACATCTCCGACCCAACAGAACTAAAAAAAAAAAACGGTTCTAAGATTTATAACTGGTCTGAGGCAGGTCGTTTTATTATGATGCTGAAATGATTCTTCATCGGTTATGTAGTGAAAATAAGTGTAATCTACATTTTAAACAAAAAACGGGGCTGCATCAAAAAGACTTTTACAAAATTGTAAATCAATTTTATTTTTCTCGACTTCTGATATGGTTCGTGTACGGCATCAATAATTTGGTACTCAATTGAAGTTTCAATAGAGCAGACCCCCCTCTACCACGAATTCGTTTGAATGCCTCTGACTCATCAAGACATGACGTCAGTGAGAACTGCTCTTTGACAGTACTTTGTACTCTAAACTTAAATTGTGTGATCAAATGTAATATCACATGCAAAAGAAAGCTTGGAAAATATGATATCAATCAACATTTCTTCGATTTTCAAACATTTTTATACGTTATTTTATGCTTTACATGTACATGTAATTTGATTACGTATATTAACGTAAGTACGTAAAAAGCGTGTTGTTACATGTGCCCCTGTATGTGTTCTTTAATTGCTTTGGTTATTCTCTCCATACCTGTGTCTGTCTGTGATTATGTTCAGCTTTGTCTACAGGTAGATTTTTAACCCGAAAAAATGGCAAATATGACAGAAAAATACTTCACAAAATGAAGTTTTCAAATAATAATAATAATAATAATAATAATAATAATAATAATAATAATGGATGATCTCAATATGGGGAAAGGTCCGTATTTTGTGTCCTTAATTTAAAAACACAAAGGACAAAGAATAAAGTGTAGCTTGTCTTTACTCAACAGCAAATATTGTACAGTAAAATATTAGCTGTTGAGTGAAGACAAGTTACTTTATTATTTGTCCTTTTTAGTGTTTTCAAATTTCCCAATGTTTTTTTTTTTCAGTCCTTAGGATCATTTTCATCAGGGAATGAGTATATCCAGGTGAATAACCTCTATCCAGGAGATACACTACCTACTGTCTTAAGAAAGGCTAGTATAGGTCCGGGAGGATGGCCCCAGCATTTCTGCTGAGACTGGTCCCTGTCTCCTTGATGTGTATGGCTTCTAGGGTTATTGTTGTTTTTTCTTGTATCACTGTGAAACACTTTGATTTTTTCCATTATATGACCATATGGTACTTTGAGTCTAAGTTGTTCCCCACGATGCCTCACATTTGTGATGTTTTGCTATATGTATCTCTCACACACTGATTTTCCCGTTTCATCTACATTTATGTTTATATCATCAGATCCTTTACATTCTACCCAAATAGAAAATCCTGCATTTTTCACTGTGCATTCCGGATGAAAAACCTGCTTTACTAGACATGTTCAGGATCTACTTGTTCAAAGTCCGCTGTAAACCTTCAAACACCCTCAGTGTAAGGAAATGCGGTGTACTGCCGTAAAATGATAGTGAATTAATTGGTCGGAAAGGGAAGGAATTGATCTTTACAGAGGGGGAATTACTTAAGATATGATCAGTTCAAGGAAAGGTTTTGGAATATAATAAATTATGTCACGTTCACAAGCTGTGCGTAGAGAAAGAAATGAAAAAAAAATGAATATTGAAAATGAAAAAATGAAAAAATTGAACTCCCTTTTAGTCCAACCTAACTTAAATGGTTACTAAATAATAATAAGGAAGGAAACCTTTCTACTTAATTCCAAACTCAAAGGAAATATAAGGATAAAAGATGCAGAAACTTGCTCCTTCTGTAGCGAACACCCTGAAGCTCTTCAACTGTTATATACTGAATGCAAAGTAATTGCTCCTCTGTGGGTAAAAACCCAAGACTGGATCCAATAGTAAACTCGACAAATACTACAAGTGACAGCAACTGGCATAATGCTATAGGGATTCCAAATATGAATTTAAATGTGCTTAACAATTTGCCGACTTTAACCAAATTAAGTATATATAAATGTAAAATGATAAACATTACACCACATTTAGAGAATATAAGAATAGAAAAGAGATAGGCCTATATCGCATAAAGAAATATAAGTATAGGAAACATGACAATAGACAAATTTAATAAGAAATAGAAAAAGCTGCACCCTCTCTTCTAGGACTGATATTTTCTTGCTGCGTATTTTCCCTGTCGGGAAAAGACACTTATGAGTTTTTTGTTTGTATTAGATTATAAAGTTTTGTATTATTTATCAAATTTAAGCAAGTCTTTAACAGTTGGGTTTTCAACATATCGTTGTTAATATATGTTGTATATATACATTTATATTGTAAATGCCTAAGTTTTGGTGTGTGAAAGAGGAGTGAGTGAAAGAGATATTTATTTATAAAACACTACTTCTCATTTGGAGAAATGCAATAAAAAATCTTTATCCAGTCTTAATATTTTATCGACAAAAGGCAGTTACCATTCGGCCTTATGCCATTAAACGATGATTTAAAACAAATCCCAAACCAACACCATATATAATCTAAAGTGACGCTCAATTAAGTACTTGTTTATAAAGAGTGACTTTCAGGCGCGTTGGTGCCCGTTATTTCATACTCTCGTACCCCACGCCTTGATTTCCCACGTGAATCACGTGTACAGAACATGTGTTGAGTACAGCGGCAACTACACAAAGGTTACATTGTCAAAGTACGTAATGTCAATACCGCTGCATGTTTATAATTAAAACGACTCAATTGACTAAAACCTGCGTCACACTGCGCTTGCAACCCTTTGGCAACCTCTTTGCAACTTCAGTTACCATTATCATAAAACATAATATTTTTGGGAAAAAACACACACAAAAAAAAAAAAAAAACATAAATTGCATTTGTTCGTAAGATTTTACACAAAGTGTCCAGGTTTACATATGTATCGTATTTTTAACTTACGAAACCAATAAAGTTAATAAGAAGCACTGTGCAATTTTTTTTTTTTTTTTTTTTTTTTTTTTTTTTTTTTTTTTTTTTTTTTTTTTAAAATTCATGGTTAAATATACTGAAACCCTGAATGTTGCATCGCTGCATGTCATTTAAATATTGGGAAGCCATATTTTCTGAGTAAACAATGAAACAAATACACGGATGCAGAGAAAACGGAAATGAAAATAATTTAATCAGCAATGTATAATCACTCGGACCGCCCGGGGACACGTCTGTTAGCAAAAGGGTTAAATTTTGCTGTGGCTTCTAAGGCTACCCGTGAACTACCGGTGGATATCATCGTACAGACGGAGCTAATTCATACAATCTAACATCCTTCCAGTGCTTGGTATACTACAAGGATTAGAATGTAAAAAGTACACTAGGCGCACGACCTTTCACGATTTATTTACGTTGTATTGTAAGTGGTTAACGCATGGGTTCATCAATCACACATGGAATTGACGGCCATCTGATCTCGAAAGTGTACAGGCAGGCCACTTATACCAACCATTACTTAAACTTCCAGGTGCACCGTCCGCTACACCGATATCAGAAACTGGGGGTCGCAAGAACTTGACCAAGACATTGATGGATGAGGCACACACTGTGCGTGGTAACCCGTCAGGACAGGACAGCAGTGGCCAGCTGTGAGCCAACAGTTACAGTCAGTAAAAACAGCAGGTGATCATCCCTTATTGTAAAAGAATTTCAGAGAAAGTGTGCAAGATCTACATAAAGCATAATGCCAACACGGCTTTTAGACACCAGTGCACATTAAAACTACCCCTTGTGGCACCCAAGGACCCCCCACCCCAATAACAACGTTGCCATGAGCTCCCTAGAGATCTTAATGTTATGGTTTTGTTTTTTGATAAAGTTAGAGATACTCCGTTCTTCTCTGCTGATGTTATCCATCGGTTTTTTTTTAATGATTTGTATATACATATTAGTATATTTTGCTATCTATACCGTGATCTTCGACGCACACATGCTCGGAATTTACGGAACGAGTAACTAAGTAGATAAATGTTAGTGCTAGGAATGGCTATGGTAGTGGTAAATACTCTTCCGGTATTTGGTTTATTCGTAGGTTGTGACTAATATGGGCGTTAGTGATAAAAGATCTCGCAGACCGTTTATAAGGCTTGCGATCTCCGCACGCAGGTCTGTAGCAACTTTTAAGATTTAAAAATCCACCTCGTTGTTGCCAAGATTTCTGCATGCTAGCTCCGTCTGTACGATGATATCCACCGGTAGTTCACGGGTAGCCTTAGAAGCCACAGCAAAATTTAACCCTTTTGCTAACAGACGTGTCTCCGGGCGGTCCGAGTGATTAATTACCCGTTTTGAGCTGGCAGCCACTAAAAAATCCACCATCTACTCTCATTAGTCTGATGGCAACCTACGTCCAGATTGAACATAAGCCAACGGCCAGAAATTTTTTCGGCTAGTGTTTGATAATTTTCATATGTGATCCAACTACCAAGCTTAGAACGTGTATGCTCATGAAATAGTGTTTAACCCTCAAGCGACCAAGCTATTTTACTGACTGAAATGATCAAGTTGGGTCATCTATGACCCCATTGTGCTCTCTACAGGGATCCTTATTATGAAAGGCTGGTTGGGGGCTTATCACACCTACACGGTATACTATTCCCAGCATTTAAGACAGGTATTTTATAATGATCTAATGTAATAAGTATTTGGTATTTTAATATTAAAATACTTTTATTGCAACAAATAACCAAACACAGATATAAAGAACAACATTACAACGTTATTAAGACAGTCCTTGTCAGTTCCCACTTGCAAAAATACTTCTCTTTTTTGCAAACCTAAATGAAAATGTATATCATACAAAATAAAGTTGGGAAATTGAATTTTGTTGAGTTAGCATCCTGCTAAGATCAATAAAAATAACTAGCTGACTTGCTGGCTAGGGAATACGCTAATACTGGGAGGGAAGGCATCCTACTCATAACACATCCGATCAACCTATGTCACTACCATACCTGTGTTAGAAAAAAAAAAAAAAAAAAACACACACACACACACACGCACACACACACACACTAACATCTTGTTTGTATATGTGTTATTTTATATCGACAAAATTCTTCATATAACTGATATACCTGAAAACTGTAACAGTCAAAATGAGAGACACAGTTATGAAAACAAGTTCCAGCAAAGCTACTGAAATTAGATTCAGCGATGCACTATAAGTAACATTTCAAGCACAATCTTCCCAAACCACTTGTTTGTGGTTATGTTGTAATCACATAGTTCAAAGCAATACAATATAATGTACTGATGAGAAATGGAACATCTGAATGAAATTTAAAACCAATGTTTAAAAACCAGTGCTTCTCTTCGGGGTCCCTGCAAAAATGTGGAAGCGTGTAGAATTAGTAGACTGACAAACTTATACTAGGAAAGGGAATTTGGAAAAATATAAAGATATGGCACATTAAATCATATGGCTGGGGTCGTAAATGACCCCACACGGTCACTTGAGGGTTGAGCGGTATGGGGATGTAGCAATATATATATTTTTTATACTTTAAGTCAAGATAAACATGTACCTTGACAGGCCGCTGAATACCCATTGCATTTAATGGGGATGAAAAAGAGCACAAGATAAAAAGAGCAATTAAGTTTAGGTTAATTTCACCATATACTTTATCTGTATATTTTATAAGAATGCATGTTATTTTGATTCAATTTACACCAAATGCAAGCAAATTGACTAAGAGACAAATTTCAACATGGAGTTTGAAACAGACGTTGTGACAATAATTATAACTCTATTTCTGCTAGTCGTACTGATGGTACTTTTCTTCGGAGAGTTTTCTTTAAAGAAGATATTTGGTGGTACGTACTACGCTTGTTACATATATATTTAGATAATTGCTGATGTATGGTAAATTATACTATAGATCTGAGTTTTAAAATGATGTTATTATGCACTCAGTCTGGTCATAATCAATCTATACCTAAACATATTTTTGTTACAGATTTTGGACAATTGACGAGGTATTTTAACAAGTTTACGAGATATACCAATCTTCCTATGCATATTACTTCGTGTTCAGGAAACATCGAAAATTCGGGAAACATTGAAAAATTGACACATTGAATAATATTATAAGATGGCCAAATCTAAAAGTATCATTATCCACACAAAACATTCATCTTGAGCTATGGGTCGAGAAAGAGCACTTCTTACGTGAAATAGCTATCCTTGATTTCTTGATGCTCTGATTTCTCGTAGCAGAAAAAAATGAAAATACATTTCACAATATGAGCATAAGAGATATGTCTTCATGTATGGCTATTGCAAAGTTTCGATGAGAAAATACTTAAAAATATAGGATCATCAATGCCAAGAGCCAGACACCCCAATAAAATTCTAATAGGTCCTTGGTAATACGTCTGTCAAATTTTAATTTCTTTTATCTATTAATCTTCCGCCGTGTGGAACAGCCTAATTCTCAGGTGCACCATGCAAGAGTTTGGTATATTTTCAATCATTATAACAATCATCATCATCATCGTTCTCCCTGCTTCTAAACGTTAGCGTTTATTTTCACTCCACATCTCCACCATTCAGCATACCTGTTATTTATTGTTCCATCTACTAAGCACATGCTGTTGTCCATGTCTATGTTTTTCTCGTTTTTTTGCTCCTTTTCAGTTGCTGTACACTATCTTTTGGAATTAAAAATTGTGTAAGTTCATTTGTTAAAAAATGAAGCATATAGACAATTTCATATAATTAAACCCACATTGAGTGGCAAAATTCTCTTATACCATTACATTCCAGGTAAGGCAAGGAGTGATGTAGAAGTAAAAGATACCATGGCAACAACCTTAGGGACATACGTCGGCTCTGAACGGGACAATTTTTCCCGCATGTACATTTTGATTTCTAATTATGCCCTGGTGGTTTTGCAAGATGTTCTTCAGAAAGAGCTTCAGACAGTGTATCCCGAACTATTTGACCCCAACACGGGGTTGCTAAATAAGGTGCTTGGTGATAAAACTGTCAGGGGCAAACTGTTTGGATTGCCACCAAGGTTATTTAACCAACACCAGCGAAACCAGCTGTATCCTGCTGGGAATCCCTCAACGTCAGTCACCGTTGGTGATTTAGACCTCACACTGACTGTGCTTTTGCTAAGGAACATCACCTCGTTGAACCCTCGTCCTAGGAATGCATGGGACAACCCCTCTGACGAAGACACATCAAAAGAATCCACTATAGGACGAATCAAAAGATATCGGGATGTAGTGTATGGTAATGTAAACAAGGCAGCGATCAGTGACCAAGACTTCAGGGCACATTTCTCGGGTCTCAAGTCCAATCTGCTGGCTCTGTCTAGTAAATTCACCAGTGAGGAATATGACGCCATCTTGTCTAAACCTCTTGATGTTACCTTAATAAATTACGTAGGAGATTTACAAAAAATTGTAAATCTTAGATTCGCACATGATCAATCTTTTGGAATCATGAAAGGTATGTATTCAATGCTTTTATATGTTTCCCTGAAATCAGGTTAACAATTAATTGCTTTTATGGTTCACCTTTGTCTAAGGAACCTGTTTTAGTTAATTTCCATTATTCCTTGTGTGGTTGGATGAGTTGTAAATAATGACAGTGTCAGCGACATATAGCCGTGAAAACAAACAACAACAAAAAAGGGTATTTTGCTTGTTAAAGATCTTACATCTTGAAATCTCATTCTTTTACAGGAATTCAAGAAAAGGTTCAGATGATTTATGACAGGGTTCAAGATACACCAGTACCAAATCCAGGTAATGTGTACTGTTCAGAAAAGTTAGGGAACAACCGCCATCTAAGATACAAAGGTTTGAACCATGCACACTGTTATTAAGGTGACTAATAGTAAAAGGACCAAAGTCATAGAAACAAAGCCCTGGGCTTATAATTTTTATAAAAAAATTAAAACAAACTCCCAAAAGGCCAATTAAAGACAGAGATTAAGTACAGTGTCCAACGGATGAAGCTATAGCGCCAATTTTAGGGAGAAAATGCCGTTTTCGGAATTGGAATTTTCTCTATAACCAAGACAGCTATTCAAGTGATTCAAAAGGCCTCATAAAGCTGGGTGAAAGCACTACAGCGGGGTACCAGGGAACTGTCTTAAACTATTTACTTTTTTATCATCTTTTACGTTAAATTACCCCATATTTCAATGGATTATTCACTTCAAAAATAACTTTCAAACAAACAATTTCCTCTTAAACCCCTGACATCATGCTGTAGTCCACATTCCCAACAACAATAGGTGCAACTTTTGGAACGATCGGTTGCTCAGATAGTGAGATATACTTGGCAGCGATTCACTTATCTTGTCAATATAGAAAGCTGTTAAAACAGCCAAAAACGTTCACAGGTTGGTTAACAGAGCTTATTAGTCAAATGCTTAGCTGTTATCGGTTATACGATCAGATGGAACCATTGCTTATTGTCATCTAAAAATATTTTGTTTGGGTGCTTTGAAAGGGCAGAAAATCGTGCTTTTGTTAAATTTTCCGAACACTCGTTAGGCTTGTAAGTGTGCCGCCATTTTGATTGACAGCTCTGGAGGGGGCCCTAGCCTAGTAACGTCCAGTAGGGTGTCAAGGATATGTAGAAGGAAGCGCTAACAAAGGCGATTACGTTTAACCGCAATTAAGAGGTGTGAAGTTGCATTTGAACGTTTCAGTGGGTCTCTCTCGGCAATCGAGTAATTTTACTTGAGAGATTCCTTTTCTATTATCGGCAAAGTGATCAGATAAAACTGGGTGACAGTAGTGGTTCTTAACTGATTATCCAGGTAACTGTGAACTCGGGGGTGGGGGGGGGTATTAATTTTTTCAAGAAGTCTTTCGTGATTTTTATTTTGGGTACATTTTGAACTCTTTCTTCCCGCTGGATCTGTGATTCTGACATAGTTTTTTCCCAAACATCGCAAAATACAAGTTAACATGCGTTTTTATTTTCATTGTTATTTTTTTAATCATGCTGTCAACCCTTGCTTGGATTTCTCTCTAGGCTAAAAGTATCGTTTCTAGAATTTTTTTCTTTTATTAATAAATTTTTCGTACAAATACATTTCTCAATTAATTAAGACGATTCGATTTACTCTTTCACCCATTTATTAGGTATACGTAAAGAAAAAAGAAAGACGAATAACATTGAACATTTCATGATGCTTTTATTTGAGCTGTACATGCGCCAATGGCTGTAACTGTCTTTCGACCAACACAACGTTGCCGCCACACACACGACAAACACACGACTTGTAGGCACTTTCTAACAACTGTCCACTGTGCCAAAGCCTGTACCCATTAGCTACTGTTTCTTCCTCACGATCACTGACAGAAGACTCCAAGGGCTGTTCAAAGTCCTTCAAAATCTTACGAGCGCTCACTCCAGGTAGATTCTCTCTCTCGTCATCCGACTGAACAAATACCGGTTTTCCTCCAAATACCGGTTTTCCTCCCGCCCACATACTCTCAAAATTTTCTTTCTTTTCTCTGGAAATGGACTTTTAACACGATTTTTTCTCTTCCCCATAGCGTACTCGACTTCGTCACTGCTTAGCTGATGTAAGACTTATGACCTATCACCGCACACGTAGTCGGCTTATAACCCATTAACTATGCTCCGCCCCCCTCATGGCAACGACCCTTAGCAACAGAGTTGTCAGCCTGACTGGGACGCGTGCCGGTTGAAAAACTCATCAAAAGACACATTTTGCGGTGCAAATTCAAAAAAATTATTACATCCAACGTTAGATACTTTTTTAATTAATAGAAACACACAAAAAACTCAAAAACATGATTTTAAGCGTAGTTAACCCTATCACCCACCTTAAAACAATTTAAAGAATGACAGTTCTAAGTCAAGTTCATCTTTCTGTATTGGATGGAATTTTTACTTCCACTGTGTTACAATAAAAAAATTGCAGTTGTGAAAAGTAATAATTATGGTTATTTGGGTGAGGGGGTAAAAACATCTAAAGACATTGGGTAAAACCTGGTTACGCCCCTAACTTGCGCTTTCCAATCATCCATGTGAATCAATGAAAAGTTGGTAGTTCAGATAACATGTGAAATGTTTTTTTCTTATCCAACTTGTCATGGTCAGTGCTAGTATGTCGCTACATACATTGTGTAAAGCAAAACACATTGCTCATATGCTAATTCTGACCGGATGGCCCTGTGTTTAGAGTGTCCGCCTCCGGAGCTGCAGGACGTGAGTTCGACCCCGTCAGGGGACATACAAGTCCTTTATAAGCGTTACTTACTGTCTCTCCGCTTGGCACTCAGCACTAGGGGTTGAAGCAGGGGCCTGGTCTGGCAGTGGAGGAATAGCACGTTTGCTGGCTCTGAGAGCCTAATACGGCAGCCGGGCTGTATCCTCCCCAAGGAGGCGACGGTGACAACTTATAGTGTGCAACAGGGCCACAATGACCAATTTCCCCTTGACAATTTCAATCCTCAGGATGCCATATTTCAATATAGATTAATATTATTATTTTTGCATGCGGGCAACAGCAACAATATATATGTGTAAGCATGCGAGCGACAGCAGTAGTGTAAATATGTATTATTCATACAGGTAATAGAAAAAACACAGTAACACAGTAACAGAGAAAAAAGATTATGCAACAGACAAGGGAGAAATAGATACCTTTATGTCTCCTCCATCCCAGTGTACCACAAACTTTCATAGTCCCATTCAACAAAGACTATCAATTGGTCGTAATTTGGCCAAAGAAGGCCGCTTTTATTATATAACCCCACTATCCTCATCATTTTAACAATAATAACAATGTAGCATATTGTTGCCTGTTTTAAATATTATGGCCTTAGGGATAATAATATATATCAAATATTCAATAAGACTCACCATCCTAAAATTATTATGTGACGAGTCAGCAAAAGTTTTTATTTACAAACAAATTTGCACAAATTTCGTTTGTAGGGTTGCAGAGAGGCCCCCACTATGTCGAATATTCGAATGCACCGGTTATCCTAAGCAGTGATTCAGCATAAGCAATTATTTGACAACAGTATTGCATCTAATTTAGCTTGTCTGATTGCGAAGGCGAGGCCGATGCATTGCCTTTTGCAGGATTCTCAATACAAATCTACATAAGTACCGGCATGACAATGCTGTTAGCGGGTGACCTAAACCTACTCCCTTTTTTATTAAAAAAGAAGGGAGAGGTTCAGTTATTCCCATATGCTGAAAACAGCTGGCAGAGTGAAATCTCTATAATTGCCATGCCAACATATTTTGCGCCGTACTTGTTGATTAGTATAATAGTTAACGGTTTTACGTGGTTCTTTGTGAAAGAGCATTTTCCTTGCAGTTTATAATCATCAACGGCCAGAATAAAACATGAACGAAGAATATAGTGTCGGAGATAACCTAGATAGGTATATTTTACTCGCCTGTTCCCATTATATACCTGACTTCAACAGATGTACAGATGGACCCGCAAAGCTTGGTGGGCCGTATTATGAGAAAGGCATGACTGGGTCTTAAAAATATTCAAATTTCTCATACAACATGGAAACAGCAGGTAGGCAAGTCGGATGTTTGCAACATAACACGCTGGAATGAATAATAATAGCGTAATCAAAAACCGGGAATGGGACCCACTTGGCCCCTGTAACTTAAGATATTTTATACAGCAGTTCCAATGACCTCTGCAGTCAGTACAAATCAAGAATGGACCCGCAAGGCTTGCTGGGTCACTGTTTGGTATATGCAGAGGTAATCCTGTAAATAGACCTACGAAGTCTTTGTGTGACATTGTGTGACATTCTCATAAAGTTGACCCAATATCCTCTGAACTCAGGAGTATATAAGGATAGACCGTCAAGACTTGCTCTGCAGCAGTATTGTATGTAGTCCACGGCTACAGACGAAAATTTAAAAACCTTTACACCTTATGACTATAATATGACTTATGACTATAATAATGTATGATCAACCCGCAAGGCTTGCTTGGCTGATGACTGTCCAGTGTGACGAAGCTATTGGCTTGTCTTCGTCATGTTACGCGAGGTAGCAAATACAACTCAGATATTATCTTTCTTATTATTTATTGAACTACTGTCCAGTTATTACCCGCGCCGCTTCCTTCATTTCTATTCCTACCTCATGCAATCTCTAGCGGCCTTCTCTCTGTTTACACTACGCGGCGTTGTATAAATACCATAAGAGCATGTCAATCAACTTAATTAAGAAAGAACCGCACATGTGCGGTTACCGGCCTTATGGGGTTAAGTTACTCTACCAAACACTCCCCGCTCTTATTCACTGCATGCTGTCACTTACTAACATTACATTATCTCCCGGGGACGATATGCCTGTCCCCAGGCATATTTTAAATCGAAATATATCCTAAAATAAACTTTCTTAAACACTGCATTTGTCTATTATCATAAATTCATGCAAAACAAAACTAAGTACATAGATTTTGCATTATAAACCTACAATAAGAAATGCATTTGACATGAAACCCCAAATATAACTTAAAGGAAGATAGATTGATAAATTTTTTTTATGAAAATAGTAAATACAAATGTTCGTGGATAGATTTTGTAATGGCATTTACACCTTTCAATGTGCGGCCCAAGAGCACAGATATTTTTATTTGTTTTCTCCGCGCGGATGTTTAGATCTGTTACTCTCTTATTATGGCTCTGACACATTTTCATATACGGTTTCTCTCTCTGTCGTTTGTCATTTTAGATATTGAAGGAGTGCACTACGTGAGACAATAGGGCCGATCGCTCCCTGTCCAATGAACAGCAGTCACCAAAACGTTGCGACCAGCGCATCGTACATGATGAAGTACATGTTCATCATCATATTTGTCCACACTGTACATGTAGCGCTCTCTTTTGATGGCTATAAGAGAAACAATCGTTTTATATCAAACCCAATCCACGATTGAACAAAAAAACATACCGAAAAATAATTAAGTAAGAATCTTCCTTAATGCATATCATCAGTTTCACGTCTTCATCTTTATAAAAGTTAAGTACACTGTTCCTATACCAATAACTGTATAGTTAAATATCAATTACTAATAATTATAAGACCGACAGGCTGAATATAGATATATTATTAATACTAAACGTATTTATTATTCAACACACAATACTTAATGTGTCGTTATAACCACATGCAATAACATATAAATCAAAGTTAACTCGTAAAATTTAAAGTTCATATCCACTGAAATGAAAAGTTCCATTTGGTGTAGTCCGTTATATCCTCCATGTTTTGAATTTTAGCACAAAGTTCAGTTATCATATAATGTCAAATCCGTCCTTCTAGACAGTGAATAGTGATTGTCATCTGCCACTCATTGTATATGGATAAACGTCTTATTCGCGCACGTTGGCATACGTGTAGATAAATGTTCACAGTTTCCTGTATATACACCGAATGTCCATGTCCAGCGTTTACGAAAATATCCAAAACGAATGAAGCAGAAACAAGAACAAGAACAATTTAACTACGTATATTATAACAATCATCATCAAACTTGAATACAGTCACGTTTAACAGGCAATATTTTTAACCTGACATAATATTAATCATCCAAAAGATTATGATAACAATAAAACATATATGGAACCATGCTAATAATATAACAATATGTCTATCAATAATACTTATGCTAATAATAAAAATAATAATAACGCAATCTGGCGTCCCAGATGCTAATATTTATCTGGCGTCATGCGCATCACTTCCATACCTCAACTCCACATATTCAGTTATATCCATAACCACATTGATATCCGTCACATCTTAATCATTTTATTCCTCACAATATATCAAATAATATTCACATAAGGACATTTATCCTTGCATCATTTATTCTTATTAACTCATTTGTTCCACTCGATCTTTTTATTGCCAATATAACCACATTATCAACTGACAAGATCATTTTAAGAGGATCATTGAAATGCCAGTGATTAGGAATTTAATTAAGGCAATTAATCGAGTAACTATTCTTCAATTTTATTCTTCGCAACCCAAAAACATAATTTTATTGAAGGGACTTCCAATAACGTAGATTAATCATAATCTTAATATTTGCTTGTCACCTTCAAAGGTGCATGCGCACTATCGGCGATGTTTGACATTGCAAGGGGGTAGTGGGCGAAACAGAAGGGATATTCTTATGAAAAGAATTATGATTCATCATCTGAAATTACGCAGACTGTAAGTCCAGGAGTCCTAAACCAAAAAAGGTGCAATGATATTTAGTATTGCCTGAAATTAAATTGAATGCCCTTTAAGTGACGTATCCTGTAAAAGAAATTAAAAACTCGTTATGATGGATATCAAAATTACAAGGGTAGGCGAACAACGAAAAATCCATTCGCTGACTGGCTAACCTGGAAAAATAAACTATTTTATCAATATTGATTAGCACAGCATTTTTGTTCAAGTCAACAACAAAATATTTCCAAATGTAGTTTTCCGTCTTGTCACGAATTTCCACCAGTGAAGTGAGATATCTCAGCTGTTGGCATCTCTTCAAACATTCCGCAACCTGTAAAATTCTTAAGGTCAATAGATGCAAAAAAAAAAAAAAAAAAAAAATATATATATATATATATATATATATATATATATATATATATATATATATATAAACGGAAATAAATTTACTTAATAAACACTAGGGCCCGGTTTCATCAAGGCTGGATAGCGCTATCCTATGGATAAATATGGCCGCTATCCTCTGGATAGAGCTATCCAGAGGATAGTGCGTTTCATCAACAGTGGCTAGCGTTATCCAGGGGATAAATCAGCTTATCCAGAGGTTAAAGTTGTCCGCTCGAAATAGGTGGGATAATCATGCTATCATGCTGTTAAATCATCAAAAATGGCTAACCTGCTTGGTTTGACAGTAAATCCTTTGATATTTCACAGGCAGAGATTAATTAGAAAGAGACTTTTAAAAGATGTGTGTTTGCTTTTGATGCTTTGAGTGATACTGAATCAATAGATTACATAACAGACTTGATCAAAGTTGACATCGCGCCTGCTACGAACACAACCCATGCAATCTACGTGAGATAAATTATCTTTTATTTTACTAAAACATACCTTTTAAATCGATGAAAAAACTCTACACTGCTATTACATAATCTGCCAAACTTGCCAAGTCAGTCATTTTGTTGGAAAGTATGTCACGACCTTTCCCTTCAACTGCAAATTGTAAACATTGCATGAGGCACAACTAATGCAATGTGGTGTGTTACTGACACTGACACTAAAATATCCTGTAGATATTATTCCCATTATTTAAATGAATGTAGACTACCATCTTGAAATATACTTAGAATATTGTTTATTTTGGGTAATTTATTTTCCAAATATGGTATAGATCACTTTTTTGTAAGCAACTATCATGGCTTTTATAATGTTTATAGCAACCAACTGCATTATGGGAATGTCTTTTTCTAAATATGGTATTGGATAAATTTTTATCCACTGGATTACTATCATGCTGTTTATCCAGCCTTTGTGAAACACAAATTTATGCAGAGGATAACTATACAGAGGATAAGAAATTTATACATTGGATAGTGTTATCCATAGGATAGCCTATCCAGCCTTGATGAAACCGGGCCTAGAAGTATAAAAAAAATGAATAATGTTTATATTTATCTAAATAAGTAGGTAACGGAAAATATAAGACACACCTACTGAACAAACGAGGTACACATGCATTGCGCATGAAAATAAACAAAATGCGCCGTTGTGCGTCCAACTTTTGACAGAATTTGCCAGAAAATTGCGAATTTATAGTGAATACATAGCGTTTTGTTAGCGTATTTTGCGTATAAAGGGCGCAAGAAGATCGAACATACAACGCACGTGTGAAAAATTCCAACGAATTCAAAACGGGTTTTTGGCGCAGGGAACTAATGACCCGCGCGTTCAGCACGCATTAAGCGAACAGAGAACGCCCCCCATTCTCTATATAAAAGCTGCAGATTATGTCAAAAGCAACCAGTTAAGTTTGTTTTCTTGGATACACATTTATCGTTTTATTCATTGGGAAGGGGATGTTAAACATCAAAATAATAAAGAGAAGCATTAACATGATATACTCAGTGATATATGTCAGTGTAATTGTTTTCCAATTCTAACCGAGCATTGTTTTGAGATAATTTAGGTAAAAATCGAGCTATACAAAATGCTTAAATTAAGACGGTCAAAGAGAACATAATATTACCCTGATTGCAACTTAAATTACAGTAACCTCACATGTGCATAATGTATTTAGCACCGCTGTGTATCATATTAAACGTCTTGTTTAGTCTACGTTTAAATGATCATTTCAAAGGGAAGAAATAGGTGGTCTAAATCATCCTGCCATGCCGAGGAACAGTTCAGGCTTCAGAGTTGACCTGGTGTTTGATGCGATTTCTCTTTTTTTTTCCTTCCTTGCTGGACGTGTTGCTGCCAGTGACGATGCGGGTGTCCTCTAGATTTTGGCCATTTATCCACTCACCAGGAGTAAACTCCTGACCCAGGTTTTCGGCAACGTCAAGCTGCTGCTTCTGCATTCGTGGATATCGGGTCCTGATCAGGTTGTGGAGGATGATGCATGCTTTTACAATCTTTTTAATGGTCTTAGGCTGCTGCTGCATTGTGCTAAGTAGAACTTGAAAGTGGCTGCCAGAATGCTCCTGATGGCACAAACTAGGTGGAGTGCAAGTCCCATGACGTTATGAGCATGTTGGGGAACTGCAATTCCGTATTCTAATCGCATTCTTCCATATTATGCAGCGGATATTCAGCAAAAGTACCATGGATACACGCTAGGAATATGCTCAGGTCACGCTAGGAACACGACAGAGGTGCGCTACAGTAACGCTGGTGTGCTGAAGAGTCGTTCAACATTCGTTCAGATTCGTTAGATATTCGTTTAGCACCCGTTAATAATCGTTGCATGTTCGCTACACATGCGTTGGAAGCATGCTGCGTGCTTGCTACGCCGAAGCCAACGAATTTGAAACGAACACCTAGCGTTTATACAATGTCTGATTAACGCTGGTCCAGCGACCTCTGCGAATACCGAGCGTCCTTTTGACGTGTGAGTTCATGCGTCGAGCTGAACGCACATTTTTGTGCATGCACAAAAACTCAGACACACAAGGCGCGTTTGACGGCGCGTTTGACGAATGCAGACGCATAACAGCGCACTGGCCAAAATTGCCATTTTACCACATTGGCCGTGCGCCGACCCTGCGTCGTGTAGGTGTGACCGGAGTATAAGCTAAAGCCTACATTTGAAATGCGATGACCGTACGGTGCACGCATACTGCCCGTAATACCCTTTCGTACTCGACGCATGAACTTACACGTCAAAAGGACGATCGGTATTCGCAGAGGTCGCTGGACCAGCGTTAAGCGGAGGTAGACGGTGGCCGTTCGAAATCGCACGGAATCGCACGGATTCAAGACCAGCTCTTTACGATATAGAAAAATCGTATGGACAATTTCATTGCACTTCGCCCATGTAAATGTAATCTAGGCTTTAAGTAACATTCCACGTGCGTGAACTGAAAACTTGGCTTTGACACTATGACACAATTTTGTACTGAAGTTGTGAAACAGTATAAGTATGAATGTATTAATGATTGCTTTTAATTAAGCCGAATACGTTTCTTTTGTAGGCAGAAAACAAAAAACTAAAACAGATACCACCTATCAGGTACGTTCACAACTTTATTCCTCTACTATGTTCTCAGTATTAATGCCTAAATGATAATATAAAATATTATGCGCGTTTTTACCTCCCTGGCCGCTTTTCGCACTGTTCCAAGATAATATACTAACTTGAGGTTTGATAAGTCCGTATGTACTGTTGTATTGGGACTGTATGGACGTGTGCTATATTGTATTGTCCAAGTTCAATTAGTGTTATATTTAAACTTGTTTATATTAAGACCAGTCTTGCGTTTCTGTCGATTTATTATTCATTAGACATGTACTGTGATCACGTTTATATGGTATTTCTAATTTAACTTTCAAAATGTAAACTATAAAAACTTATATTTTGAATAATAACTTATATTTCATCTTATGCCACCAGCCTGCTGCTGCTTTTCTGGTTTATTTCATCTGAAGTAAAATCATGGTTGGCAGCAAAGTAAGATATGATAATAATGATACTATAACATTTCAGATGCAGTCTTTTCTTTTTATTTTGAATTCATTAACCGTTTTTCAGGCACCTGTAATGAATACAACTCAAATAAATATCTTAGTTGAAATGACGCCCGTGTTGATTAAAAATCTTCAAGTTGAAGACATTATTCCGGACATGGTAGACAGGGAAATCCTCAGTGAACGTGATGCAGAAAAGGTAATGGCTCACAAAACAGAACAAGATCAAGCTTTTGAATTTCTTTGTATTCTACCAAAATGTGGTCCTCGTGCATTTGAAACATTTGTTGAAGTGTTGAGAAAACACGATAAGAAAGAACTTGCAGATTTGTTAGCAGAAAAGGCAACTGAATCCAGTAGTAAAAAACAAATTGCGTCTTTCTACATAAAACACTTGAGTCAAATACAGCGTCTCCCCTGGGACCCATGCGACACAATGCACATAGATGACGTGTATGTAAACCCGCAGTGGGTACATGATGAAAGGAAACCAGCAGGTACCAGTTCTGTTCCAATCCAGAGCTATACATCACTATTTAATGATACCGAACAAGGGAGGACACCAAAGAGAATATTGGTCAGAGGAATAGCAGGCATCGGCAAGACAACATTTACACAAAAGATGGCAACAGACTGGGCAAATAATACTCTGGGTTTAAAAAAATGTGAAGTATTTTCAAATCTTAAATACCTTTTAATTTTAAATCTACGCAGCATTCTGCCACATCAAACACTGAAGAAAGCAATTGAAATGCAAATTCCTTGCTCTGCAGAAAAAGGAGTGATAGAGGATGTCATGTGTGCTCTGAATGACGATTGTAACAATGTGCTATTGGTCTTTGACGGCTATGATGAATATGATCCCAACACTTCCAAAGAAATCACAGACATCATTTACCGAAGACGATACCAGGATGTGTGCACCGTCATCACAACACGTCCATGGAAGGCAGAAAAACTGATGAACAGACAAATAATTGACGGTGTGTATGAAATCACTGGGCTAACAGTGGACAACATAGCTGAATATGTTGCTAAATTCTTTGACGATCGAGAAACATATGGTGAGTATCTGAAACTGAAGTCAGACGATGAATTCTATTCTGCGAGTCAGGAGATGTTGAAGTCAATGGGGATGGGTCTCGTAGGCTACATAATGAAAAAGGAGCTGATGTCTCTGGTAAAGATCCCAATACTTTTGCTGTTCATTTGTCTCTTGTGGCAAGAAGATCAAGAAAGTGATACCAAGACAGATTCACTCCTAGCTTCATATACACTGTTATACAAGAAGCTAATACAGCTGCTTTCAAGACGAAGGTACGGCATCAGGACACAGGATGAAATGGAACAGTCTGCATGCGTTAAAAATCTTGAAGAACAAACATTTATCAGCCTTGGCAAGCTGGCTTACGATGGGCTGGTGAAACCAGATGGGGGTCTCATATTTGATGAAAAGGACCTGCAGACGATTCCAGATGTCAGCGAATTGTACAGGTTAGGTCTCCTCAGCCAAGCCATGATGTTCCACAACCTCGATATTAAACATGAAGTGAAATTTCTGCACAGAACCTTTCAAGAGTTTTTTGCTGCAAAATACTTGGCGTGGACTTTAGATACAGACAACAGCGTTTTAGATTTGTTTTTGGAAAGTTTAGACACGCTTGACAAGCTCTATGACATGAACTTAGTGCTGCGATTTTTGTGTGGGCTCTCCTATAGTGCAACTCCAGTAGTTTTAAACTGGGCTACACACGTGGCACGGAAGACAATACCTGTATATTCCTTCCCGAAACAAGATTTTTCGGAGAGTCAACTCACATTTGGGTTCATCATCTGGTGTTATGGACTCTGTGAAGAATACTGCTGTGTCTACCTTCCACGGGGAAAACACTTTTACCCTGAGCTAACCTCCTGGTCCGAGAAACTTCCGAAGTTTGTACAACTCGGGAAAGAAGGGGCATCTGTTTCAGTTCCAGGTATGTTTTATATGATTAATGATTAAAGATACCATCCCTTTTAATAATGCTTATCTCCAATCACCTGGTAATGGCTTCAAAACACGCTGTTTATGCCAAGCAATTGATATAAGTCGAAGTTGTTTACAAATATAATAGTCAGGCGTCTAATCCTACCAGTTATGCAAAATCCTACCAATTAGTAAAATCATGAAACTTACCACGATGAACAACCATCATAATTAACGCTGGTTGTGCTTGTTTCGGTGAAATCTGGATGTACATAGACGCTGATTCAGCATATTAAAGCCGCTCATCCAGGTACTAATAAATTTCGCCCCTATCCAAAACTGACAAACACCCAATCATCGTACATTGTGAAAAATTTCATGTTTTTATCAGCTTTTGGACAATTCTGGTAATTGTTTTCTAAGCTTCAGATTCAACACCCATCAGCTTTTTCAATTCTAAATTTCTATAAGTGGCACATCAATTTGATAATCGACGAGCAGGCATCAGTGGAATTTGAATTAAAATAACCGAAGAAAAAAAGAGCTAACTCTCATTTTTCAAACAGTGGTTCAAAACCACATAAGGACATCGCCTTATTTTCATCATTGAAATTGGAAGCAACCAAATATATTAATCCTTAATCGTTAACAGAAGAGTAATGGTATGAAATCCTAAGTCTTCTTTCCATTGTATTTCATTCAAACAGTGACTTCAAATCCACCACACGACCCTTCATCGGTGGGAGTTGTCAGCCAAGTGGTGCAGACTCAGTATCTGAGTCCTCCTTCATCAACAGAAGAGGAAATTACACAGACTACATGTACAGAGTCTACTGCTACCAGTGTTGATGTGGTGCCCAGTGCAGGTATAGTTTTTGTTGCATGTTTGTGTGTTATAAGGTACAGTGTACAATAAGGTACCAAAGGCTGATAATAAGATGGATCAAATTATTTAACATCAAGCTTCAGAACTGGGAGAACTCTGATGTGTGCATGTTTTACTTGACAACCGGATTTTGATTATTGCTTTGATTTCAGCTTTGGGTCACAGAACAGCAAAGTGTATAGAGTTAGCCAAAGACCAGTATCTGTGAAAATCTATTAAAAATAATTTTAATAAATTAGAATAATTTTTGGCACTGTTATGTAAATGTTGATTGTTCTGCTTATATACAGACTTGACATTTAATATGGAATATTTCAGTTTCGAAGGTGTGCCTAGGTAAAAATGCATTCTTTTTTAAAAAAAACTCCGATCTCATATAAGATATGTGAATGGAGAAGTGTAGTGAGGTGTATCGCTTCCAATTAACTGAATACCAGGTTTGTTGCGCTGCTGCATTATGTAATATGCAGTGATTTAATTAGGTAGTGCTCCTTTGGGCAGGTCAAAGCTTGGCTTTGGCAAAGCATGGTTATGTCAAAAAATTATCCATATGTCGGCAACTACTGCATAGAAGAATTTGAAATTTTGCATGCAAGTGGTCTGTTTTGCAGTGTGTAAAATTAGCTATGCAGTGCACTGCAAATTTGTCGATCAGTGGCAGGAAGGTGCGAAAAGGTCAGAGATTGCCAGACAGATAATTGCGCCAACCGAAACGGTCCGCACAGTTTTATAGAGTAATGACCAGACTGATGTACCTACACAGAGGCCACACCCAATGTATTGAAATCTTACCACCAGGGTACAGGACCTACTGTCTGTCGGGATATGCTGTTGCAACTAAACAAAAACCACCCAGTCCGTTCAGAATGAGGGCTAAATTGCCACCAAAACGCATTTTTCAAGGCCCTTAGCGAACACCAAACTGGTTTTAGCTGGTTAGAATACCAGACGACCTCAAGGGAACCCACTGTAAACAGCAAAACATCGTTGTATGTTTCTCTAATGAATTGGGGACCTTGGCCGTTTCTGAGTTGAACACTGAAACTTCGTGGCTTTCTTAATTGAGGTCAGATTTCACCTGTACCGCTCAACTAGTCAAAACAGAGTTTACAGACATACAGAAGAGACCAACGACTAAGCGTGTGCCGCGTCTAAAGTGACTAAGGTCATTAACAGCGTCAGTAATTGTAGTGGATACCACATTGGTGCCAAAACACCAATGATGGTCATCCACGAAAACCTGAACCAGATCAAATAAAGGAATAATCTGGGAACCACTTGACTATCATTTGATAGGGGGCACCTTAGGAACAATTTTAGGTTGCACGGTGAAATAGCCAGTACACACAGAGCACTTTTAATAGCAGATTACTTACAGAACCAAAGGAATGAGCAGCTATCTTGGTAATCAAAATCGCCATATTTGAACCACATAGACAATATGTGGGTAGGCCATTACTCGCCGAACAATGGCCTACATGTTCTACAAGAAAACTGAACCAAACTGGACAGATTTTGACCGATGCCTGGAATGTTATTCCAGATTGAACTCTAAAAACCTAACCCAAGGAATGCCTTGCCACTTGAGAGCGCTGGTAGCAGACAGAAGAGGTCAAGCGTAACAGCGACCGTTACTGTGACTAGACACTGACATGGGGGTTCTTTGTGAGGCGTGTAACTCTTTTACTGAAAATAATTTGGAAAATATGGAGATCCAACATATCTCTTTTAATTATTGTCGTATGACATAGAATAGGCAATTTGTATTTGTTTGCTTCTCTGGCGAATCCCATTAATAAACTGATGTCACAATGACATCAAAGAGATAATTAAAAGTTGTTTAAACACGATTTTAATCCTTATTTTCATTTATCAGTCAGCAAAATAGGAAAAAACTGATGAAAAATGATTGGGAAAAATATTCCATATTAAATGTCAAGTCTGTATTATTGATGTAATTGTCAATTACATTTTTTCTGGTTCGCGGCATTTTTTTCTGGTTGGCGACATTTTTGGAACAACAACGTTTTTCACTGCTGAAAAAGCTCAGCTAAGAAGCTAAAATGGATCATTAACGGTTTCTCTTATTGTATTTTATTGCTTGCTTTTCCAGCTGCCATTAAAACGGCTTGTCATTCATTTCCAAGGACATCTGGTGTTATGGCTGTTTTCCCAGCATACAAAGCAAGTGGCCAGCATCCACCATTCATTGCAGTGCTAGTGAGCATAGTATTCTGTGAAGATAAGATGACAGAACATGATGGATTTGCTGTCAATTACTACTCATGGGACATGTCAGATATGGAAGCTCAGAAGGCCTTCTTTTCAAAAGCAGCTAAAGACAACCCGATTCCGCCCGGAACGTCTATTGAAATTGGTCAGGCCATACAAAAGTCTTCAGAACATCTTTTCAAAAACCACAGAAACCTGACAATTATTTCGGCATCTCCTGTTAAAGTGCAAGGAGGTGAAATAACATGTAAACCATGTATAGTATTATATTGTCGTGCAAAAGGTGTGGTCCCATTGGGTGATCCCCTGTTCCCAAAGTTAATTGAAGGAATTCCTGTAGATGTGCGCGAAGGATTTGTTTCCTTGTCCATGCATAATAGTGCTCCACAAACCCCAGAGAATGTGCACTTTGGCCAAAATACTACATTTTACAGTAACCCATTGAGGATGGGATGCAGTATTGGACTGTCAAAATCGATTTTTACAGGTACCTCGGGAGTGTTCGTACAACAAGAGGGGACACTATGTTTCCTCACATGCTCCCATGTATTAGGCATCCCACCACCTGCCATAGAGGCTGAGGTCTGCCAACCGTCTGATGCAGATGTAAGGACAAACAACTACAACAAGCAAGATATGGCATCTAAAGACAAGAGCAAAGTGTGTGGTGTGGTCAAAAACGTTTACTTTGACAATTATGGGTATAAAGGTAAAGAATATGGCATTGATGCAGCTCTTATCAAAGTCAAGCATAGAGATATCCATGCGATACCAGCAGGGTTAACGCCTGAAACATTGCAAAATCTTAATCTTAGTGAAGATGAATTGTCCTTTAACAATGCGGAATGCATTGAACCAATGAACAATGAAACCAATACAGTTTTAAGCCCCAATGTAGTTGTGTACAAATGTGGTAGGACTGGTCTCACCCGTGGTTGTGTCAGTTTTGAAGGAGGCACTGCTTTCCGAACAAAAACTATAAAATTTAAGAAGGAGCAACCAGGTGGTACATTTACATACTTTGAAAAAGAATTTCGAAATGTGGTCGAGGTGCGTGGTGTTGACTGCGTGTTTGCTGACGAGGGAGACTCTGGCGCTGCAGTATTCCTGTTAAAGGGACCAGATAGACATAAAAGCCCTCATCCAGTGGGAATGGTGATGGCAAAGACGGACTATCATTCTACTTTGATGTCACCCATTTGGCCAATTTTTGAATGTTTTAACATCAAACTGGCAAGAATAGAGGAGGGAATGGAATGTGAGTGACATGGTTGAACCATAAAACAACATGGTAAAATGTGTAGACCATACCATAATTATGGTTAAATTTAGACTTGATTTAACACTTATACTTCCAATAATAATGTAGTTTTTGGCAGCAATGCGCACATATAGACTTAGTTGACATAAAATTCTGAAAAGAAAAACAAGTTTTGTCTGAATATTTATTGAAATGAAAAAAGTGAAAGTGATATATCTTAAAATAATTCAATGGATTATAAATTGAGGTGCCTGAAATTGGTTGATAACTGTGTTCAGCATGATGTCCCTTGTTAGTGGTGAGATTTATAAGTGACATACATGCGTACATAAATATAATAGACGAAGGCAACTTCACTGTGATGAGAACAGTAAGTGTTGCTTGGAATTGGTTTTATCCTATTTTGATTGCATTATTATATATACATGTATGCGAGCATTATTATTATTATTATTATTATTATTATTATTAACAAAAATGTTAATCCAGTGTGTAAATGAGCATGCATACTGATGGATGAATTATGGGTATTTAAATAGAGGCTTTAACTCGACTAATGGTAAAACAAGTTTTGTCAGAAGGTTTCTAAGTTATTTTAATGTGGTGAAAAAGTGAAACAACTAAAAATGATTCAATGGATTATCGAAAATGAGGTATATGAAATGTGCAGCCGATTACTGCAATTCGGCATGATATCCACTTTGGGGTTTAGAAGTGACAGTTCATGTAACATTGGCTGTCTTAGATCCGTATTTTTTTCATTTCATGCATATGTGCTTTTTTATCAGTTATATCCGTTTTTTAAGTGCATCAATCCTTAAATAGTATTGTTCAAACGCACCCACATGTATAGAGGATTACGTATTATTCGCGGAAATTTAACCTTATTTACAATGTATAATCAATCTGAAAGTCAGTTTATGTTCGGGTGTATTTACTGAGCTTGATTTGAGGGAATATACTACCTGCATATTGTGTGAATTATACGCAGTATGTGCCTCCTTTATTACATGTATGGGAAGATACTGGGCTTAAACCTTAAACAGGTAAAAAGTAAATTTATTTACATACACTGTATATAAATATGAAACTGCAAGTCGATATTTTTATTTTATTTTATCTTATCTTATAATATTAATATGTTTTTATTTTCATTAGTCACAAAATGTGGTTTATATCTTAATATGTTTGACATAATTCATACCTGTACAGGGTTACCAGTTAATATGGAATATTATTTTTTGGCGAGTAAATTTTCTACAAAATATTTATTTTCTCTCTAACTACTTTACATCCAAATCTGAGGTGTCACTCCCTGAGTAGCCAGGTGTGTTACCTAATTACCATACAACTCTCGAAACAATTGATGCATACAGTTGCATTTTCTGTGGTCAGAAATGTGAGGGGTGGTCTTTTCGGCAATTTCTGTCCTNAATATTTTGGTAGGGGAAAGGCGGCGTGTAGTCCTAGGAAAGGAAGTCCGGGTTCCCATATGATAAGTAAAGGTTAGGTGTTAGTTGGGAGTATTGGAGTTAGAATAATTGGACAAATGCCACCTGTACAAAGTAACGGGAAACGGACTACGGTTCCTAACGAACTTATCTTATTTTTATTGCTCTATCATACATACTTGTATGCTATCATCATCATCATCATTATTATTATTATTATTATTATTATTATTATTATTATTATTATTATTCACAAAAATGTTAATCCAGTGTGTTAATGAGCATGCATACTGATGGATGAAAAATGTGTATTTAAATAGAGGCTTTAACTCGACTAATGGTAAAACAAGTTTTGTCAGAAGGGTTCCAAATTGTTTTATGTGGTGAAAAAAGTGAAACAACTTAAAATAATTCAATGGATTATGAGATGTGCAGCCGATTACTGTAATTCGGCATGATATTCACTTTGGGGTTTAGAAGTGTCAGTGCATGTAACATTGGCTGTCTAAAATCCTAATTTTTTCATTTCATTCAAACGTGCCTTTGTATCAGTTATATCCTTTTTTTAAGTACATCAATCCTTAAATAGTATTGTTCAAACGCACTCACATCTATAAAGGATAACGTATTATAGGCGGAAATTTAACCTTATTTACAATGTATGATCATACTAAAAGTCAGTCTATTTTCGGGTCTATTTACTGAGCCTAACTTGAGGGAATATACTACCTGCATATTGTGTGAATCATACACAGTCTGTGCCTCTTTTATTACCTGTATGGCACGATATTGGGCTACCTTAAACAGGTAAAAAGTAAATGTATTTACATACACTTTATATAAATATGAAATAGCATGTCGATATTGATATTTTTATTATATCTTATAATTTCAATATGTTTTTTTTTTTAATTCAACCATGATCAGAAGTTTGTATATATCTTATAAGTTTGACATTTATCTTACCTGTTCATACAACATTTTGCCAAGGGAAGGGCAGCATAAGGATACAGATGATGTAATTAATATACGAGGGCAACTTAACAGTGATATGTACAGGAAATGTTGTTTGGGATTGGTTTTAACTTTTTTCATTACTCTATCTTATTTACATGCCTTTTATTATTATTATTGTTATATTAAAAAAAACATTAACGCGGTGTTTAAATGAACATATGATGGATGAATTATGAATATTTAAATGAAGTCTTAAACTCGACCAATGGCAGTGTGTGAAAATTTTAGTGTATTAGTTAAAAAAAATACTGTAAAGAAATTCTATATTACTTAGCATGTCAGAACTATTTAGATTAAATATGGTTTCTTAAGAATATGTGTAAGCCAAAATCAGACTGAAGTGAGCGTATATTTTTATTTTAAAAAAGTTGTTGATGTCATATTATTATGTACAACTATGTACACTTTTCGCCTCCAGGTAAGTAATAGTCACTGTGCTGATGATGTATTGAGCACAGGCTATGGAGTGAAAGTGCCTTTTTGGTTTCTTAGCGATTTTTATTACATGAGCTCGTATCGATAAAAAATTTAACGGCAAATAGTATTTGTTAAGATTTGACCACCAGTAACGTGAAAATTAACACTTAATTTCAGTGGCCCCTTATTTAATAATACCATTTTTAAATATGTTATCAAAATCTTAGGCACCAGATCCTTATTTAATCTTTGTCAATCACTCACAAATTTTGGCGATATTATCTGCAGCTGTTATGGAGTTATTCACTGCACCAATTGTTATTTCACCCGATTTTGAACATTGAGGTTTTTGTTACAAACTTAAGTGTACACGAATACTATCACAATGAAGAATTACATGTATAATCTCACAACTCTTATTTAGAACTTGTATTCACCTATGTGTGTTTGTTCTTATCAGTGTTGTCATTAACCCAAGAGTTGTTGTTTTCACATATCTGTTTAGTATCTGTACTATTGTGCTTTAATATTCCTATATTATAAATCTTTATTAGGTTTGAACATTGACGTTTTCGAATATATCAAATCGCATAATTCTTTAAGGATCTAATGTTGTCTTATTTTTGCTTTTTATTTTTTATTCATTTTAGAAAAAAACGTTTATTGAATGATAGGAATGTTTTAGTGACTGCTTAAACTTGATACACAGCAGAACATTAAATTTTAGTATGTTAATGAAATATATTGTGAAATAAATTTTATGTGGCTTTATGTGTTTGTACTGGATATATTGATTTGGAAACTCCATCAGTTCCCAATTACGAGGGATTGCTATTTTGACGCTTTCTGGCTATTAACATGCATTAAATGTTTCTTTTAAAAAGAGAAAAGTAAAATAAAATTAAGTGATTCTGTCAATAGCAATAAACACTTATTTTTTAGCGTGTTACACGTAATTATCATTATTGTACCCATGTATGTCCATGCTCAGAGGAAATGGACATTTCTTCCACAGAGTATCCAACACAACTATAAACGGAGGATTCCCCTGCAAAATAGGTGTGGAAATGCTCTTACAAGGTCATGTGAAGGTCATGGGTTAAATTTGACCCCATTTTCTGAAAGGGCATGTGCGAATTGTGGGGGGGGGGGGGGTCAACAAAACATCACTTTAGCCCACTTCAATATTTCTCCATGAAATAGCCAAATGATCTTGAAAATAAGGGGCAAGGTCAAATCTGACATTTGATTTGGGGGTTTTGGGTATATGTGTGGGGTAGTTTACTAAGCATGCTTTGACCAAAAACCAGTGTTTCATGGAGAAATTGAGAAAGTCACTATTTCTTTGAAATAATTAATATTTAAAAATCTATATTAAAAAATCTAATCAGTCAATTGTCAATATTATTAGCGACTGCACTGGCTAGATATCTGGGGCAACTTTTTACATCATCTTTGTGGCTCTGTGACATCTGGTTTACCCCCTGCCGAATGCCAACCACTTAGAGCATATCGTGCAATAAGTTGACCTTGACCTGACCTACTTTTCTTAAAATTAGGTCATATGATATAGAATCATTGTGTGACCTCAACTTTGAAAGGATTTGTCAAAATGTTGAAAATTCTAGGAGATATTGCATTTTGAAATTTGCAAAATTTTCACTTTAAAAGGCTTTGTGACCTTGAAAATTAGGTC